TGTGATCTCAGTGGTATTCCCCAACTATAACTTCCAAGCCCAGCCCAAACTCCAAGCCCTTGAAACCTCTTCATTCTGAAAGCTGCTAAGCTTAGGAGCAGAAATTATTTCTGATACACTTCTTTAGGGTTCCTTCTTATTGTTATCATCTCCCCCAAAACGCTCCCTAAACCCTAAACCCTAAACCCTAAACCCTAAACCTTAAACCCTAAACCCTAAACCCTAAACCCTAAACCCTAAACCAATGATTGACCAAGGTCTGCCATCCTGCACACACTCAGCCCGGGCGTTGCTGGCCGCTTCATCCGCCGGCAGGGTCAAACGCAGGGCATCACCGTCACGGATGCTGGGATTAGGGTTTAGGGTTTAGGGTTTAGGGTTTAGGGACTGTGGAGTTGCTTTGGGAAGTTTGTGGGGCTCTGAGGCTTCCAGAGAAGGTTCCGTGATATGGGTGGGGATATGGAGGTTTCAAGGGGTTTTGGGGGACCCTAAACCCTAAACCCTAAAACCCTGAACCCTAAGCCCGAAAACCCTAAGCCCTAAAACCCTAAAGCTTCAGGACTTCTGCCTGTTCAAGTCATAAGGACGAGGCTACCGGCTGCGGGTTGCTGGCATCGCTTGGGTTCGCAACCGTGGTAAGCCCTGGACCCTAAACCACTTGAAGCCTAATGTAGAGGCCTCAACAATTCTTGACTATAGTTATAGTATAGTATACCCCCAAAACAACATTTTAATTTACAGGCCCCTACATTAAATCCTAAACTTGGCTTAGGGTTTGGGGTCCGGGGGTTGGGGTTTTGGGTTTGGAGTGCAGGGCCAAGGCGACGACTGGTAGCGTAGTTGCTATGAGGGTTACTCTACGGGTTGCTACAACATTTTCTATAAGTCTTAGTTTGAGGTTTACTGACATGCCCCTAGGCTACCAAACCCATCGCCTCACTTCCTTGACCCAAACCCATACTAGTCCCCGAAGACCTGGAAGCTTAAGCCTTAAGCCCTAAACCCTAACCCCGAAACCCTAAACTCTAAGCCCCAAACCTTCCACCCTAAACCCTAAACTTCCCTAAACCCTAACCCCTAAACCATAAACCCGAACTTGCTGAGGAGATGCTTGAGGGCGGAATTCGCTTCATCGACTTTCGGATCATGTGAGCCCCAGAACTGGGGGCGCTCTCTGGGATGATGGGGTTACAGGGTTTTTTGGGGGGTTTACGATCTGCTTCAGGGTTCGGGTTTGCCATGCGATCTGCTGTACTATTGGGGCTTAAATAATTACCCATACTATTTTGGGTGTTCCTTATTGTAGTTAGAGTATAATATACCCCTATTATTAAGGCCCCTATATTAGGCTTTAGGGTGACCTGCTTTCGGGTTCAGGGATAGGGTTGTCGGAAAGCTCGAGGGACTTAGGGGCTCTAAGCCCTAAGCCCTCAAACCTGAAGACCCTTTTCCTCCACATACGTAGAGGGGTGTATAGGCAGTCTACCGAGGCCGCAATGCTTCAGATTCACGGTTGCGGGCTCGGTATCCAGATTGAGGAAGTACGATGTATCCCCACAGCAGAAAACCCGAAAGCTTGTTCCGCTCGGGTTCTGGTTTCGATGTTCATACGCCGGAGCAGGTTGAAGGCACTTCGACCACATTTCGATGGAGGTTGGCTGTTCGCGTTGTCACGGCACATTCTCGGCCATGAATATGCCTCCTACTGTAACCCGCCCCAAGCCCAAAGATTCACACAAACCCGAAATCCTAATCCCTGCACCCTCACAACTCTAAGAAGCTCAAAGCTTTAGATCTGAAGGGCTACACAGGCCCAAGAAGTCTTCAAGCTCAAAGCCCTGGAGCCCATTTTCCCGAAGCCCACAACTGCAAGCGCGACAGCCAAAATCTCTGAAACCCTGCAGGCTTGAGAAAAAATTTAAGCCCTGAGAGCCTAGGAACCCTCAAGCCCTGCAGTGAGCCCCCCCTAAGCCCTAAACCGAAACCAGCCTACAGCCCCTACAGTGAGCCCTACAGTGGGCCCTGGGAAGACCCACGGCCAGCCTCTTCAGGTACAGTGTCGGCCCAGATCGTGTCGCTGGGAGAAAGGAGAGGGTCGTTGGTTAAGGGTCCCCGGGCTGAATAGAGGGCCCTGAGTAGTCGGAATCGGGTGAGTGTTTCGCGTTTAAGGTCAGTAGGCTTGATATAGGCGCAGCGTTTACAGTTTATCGGGCGTTGGGGCTTTGCAGAGGGTTTTATTGGGTTCAAAAGGCTTAGTACAGCGGTCTGAATACTTTGAACATGGCCGTGGGGGAGGGGCTTATGGACTTATTACTCTAACTGTAGTGACGAACCCTCAGGAATAGTTAGAATAGTTGAATAGTCTTGCTGACACATCGAAGCTAGCTTTCATAGTAGGGGTTGAGGGGTTCTCCGGCTTTGGCTTTGAAGTTCTGTGGTTGGCAGGGTTAGAGAGCTTTGGGGTTGGGGGGTCTCTGGCATTTGAGAAAGTGTTCGGATTTGAGGGCTTCATGGGTTCAAGCTTTCCCGTTTCAACCTTTGCGTTGGTTTTAGAGGTTAGTGTAGTGGCTTGATTCTGAAGGTTTAGGCCCGCGTAAATAAACAAGTCTCGTTCCCTGGCAGAGCGCATTACGCTTAAATTTCTCAAGATCAAAAATCGTGGACACTACGACTTTACCCTGTCTAACCCCAGACCCCCACCCCGAAATCCATTTTCACTACGATCTTCGCCGTCACTGCCCTGGAGGACTGGTATTGCCTGCACGGCTGTGACGCCTGGACGGGTAGAGCTTGCCTGTAGTTCAAGGGGTTTCAAGTTTGTTTGGACGGGGATGGAGCGGGTTCCCTAAACCCTAAACCCTAAACCCTAAACCCCCAAACGTTACGCAGATAAGCGCGCTCAGGCAGCTCAAGACTTCGAAGTTGACTTGGAAGCTCTGAGCCGCGGAGCCTTCAAGCCTTAACGCCCAAATGAGACGACTTGCAGGCAAGAGCCCCGACTCTCCTGATCTTAGGGTTTAGGGGTTTAGGGGTTTAGGGTTTAGGGTTTAGGGTTTAGGGTTTAGGGCTACATCCGAAATCCTACGCCCTTAGATAAACTGTGATTAAAAGGACAGAGCCATTTCCCAACGATATCCACTGAATCCTTCCAACCTCAGGTGGGCACCGTAGATCTTGCATACCCAACGTACGTAGCAAAATCAGTGGGGTCTAGAAGTTACTGTCTACATTGGCGGTGGCATGTCTGTTCTTCGTTCTTCTTTAGATTAACGTACTGCCCGTGTTGCGGAGACTGTGCTATCGCGGCGACCACTCTCCCTCCAACCCCAAGCCTAACCCTAAGACCTCAAGCCGCGACAGCCAAAACTCCTCCACCCGGGAAGTCCGACCATGTACCGCCAACAGAAGCCAAAACCCTCAACCCAAAATGTCATCTTCGCCCTGAAAGGGGTTGGGGGTTTCGGGGCTGAGGGTTTCCTTAGCCAACCCGGAGTCCACACAGACCCTTGACCTCAAGCCCTGAGTGCAACATGTTGACTGAAACCCGGGGTCCAAAACCGAGATGCCATTGAATTTGCCATGTCATCTTATGGGACTTAGAAAGGTAGCTTTCCTTACAAATGATCTTCAAATCCTTATAACCTTTATTCAGGTATGTGCACGCTAAAACTACTCGTAAGTTTTATTGTGGTAGTTTCGAGAATTAGGGGGCCGCGACAGAGATTCCGAACACTAGGATCCTATTCTCGGGGCCACGACTGGTAAGAAGCACTGTGCAGTTCGCTCATGTCTGGTTTGGCGGCCCTGAACCCCCCAGAAAGCTTAAAGCCTACATTCCATAATCTAAACGCCTAAACCTCAGCCAAGGAATCCAAGCGCAAAGCCATCGAGTATTTGCGCGAAGTCCATGCTTGGCTTCTCAGCTAACAGAGATTCAACTTAGAGTTCAGACACTGTCTTTAGTTTTTCGACAGGCGCCTCAGCCTGTAATCCTCTAGGTCGAACTTATGGCCCTCGATAGTAGCAAAGAGCCGGTCCATTTCTGGTTCAAGGTTTAGGGTTTGGGTAGTGGGATGTTGAGATTAGGGCTGGAGGCATGGGTTCCAGTAAGTCGAGTATTTAGGGTCTATTTAGTGTTCAGGGTCTGTTTTGAAGGCGTCAGCTCTCCTTCTGGTAGTTTCAAAAGCATCGGCTCCACATCGCAGCTTCTACTGAAGCCTTTGGCCCAAACATGTTCCATCTTTTCCCCAGAGCCCTTTCAACCTTTGCAGTTCTTGCTGCATGCGCAATACCAGCGATCGCAATGTGCGCGCTAGCTGTTGGCTGATTCCGCATGCACGAGCCCTTAACTTACACCCTAAATCACAGCCCCTAAACCCTGAGTCATGGAAAGGGCCTCTGCCTACGCTTTCGGGGTTTTAGGGTTTGGAGTTGAGGGTTTCGGGTTGCTTCTCTGCCCGCGCAGCGACAGACAACCTTGCCAAGGGATGCAAACCTCCGCAAGTCCAGCCTAAACCCTAAACCTCGAAGCGTAAACTCTCAACCCTAGCCCCTAAACCCTAAACCGCCTAAACCCTTCACCTTAAGCCCCAAGCCCAGTTTGTTGAAAGCCTCGACTGGTGGCCCTCCTTGTAGTGAGTGCAAAGAAAAACGGCGCGGCACTTGCCCATGCCTACGTTGTTCCCTAGACCCTAGGCAAGAAGCCGGTCCTAGGGGGCGACCTGCCCAATTTGCGGCAGAACGGCAACATTGCCAGCTGAGCTCCCGCCTTAAACCCGAAACCCTGAGCCTAAAGCGATGCCCAGGATGGTGGCCCATCCGAAGGAGGCGACATTTAGGGTTGAGTGGGTTGATAGGCTGTGGGGTATGGGATTTGCCGGTTTAGGGTTCAGGGTTAAGAGTCAAGGGTTTAAGGTTTACTGAGTTGATAGGGTATAGGGTTTAGTAGGGTGTAAAGGCTTGCCGGTATAGAGTATAGTGGTGTTTATAGTATTTTTTGCATTGGTAGGTGTTAGGGGTCTGGTTTTCGATTTCAGGTTCAAGGATTTAGGTCCACGGTTAGGGTCTCACGCTGATAATTAATTAAGGGTGTAGGTGTCCAGGGTTAGAGACTTGCAAGGGGCTCAGTCGTTTCTTGAAGTTTGTTGCGACTCTGTGGTGGGTTTGGGCTTGGGATTTGCAGGGGTGTAGGGTTCAGAGTTTGTGGGTTTAGGGTTTGGGGTTTACTAAAAGGTGATCCCAGAAATACCTCAGCCCTCAGAGATGTATGCACAGAAGGGAGCCCTGCAATCCCAGAGCATTAGCATGCACCGCCAATTCAGGGCTGCACCATCAACTACAGTAGAATGTCAACCAAAGGGCCCTAAACCCTAAAGCCTAACTCCAAAGCCCGAAGTCCTAAACCCTAAAACAGCCTTCTTGATGCCAGTCAAAGCCCAATGGCCCTTTGTCAAGCAATAATACGGTCTTGCACAGATAATCCAAGCATCTTCATTGTAGCTACATTGCAATATAACCCAACACACCCTATTCTAATGACCCAGTCCCTGATATTCACCCCCGGTATAAAACGCGATAAACCCCGATAGTGCACTCTGAAAAGCCAGGTTCTCAGATCCGAAACCCGAGCCCCTCAGAGGTTTGGGGTTTAGAAGTTTAGGGTTTAGCGTTTGCAAATTTAGAGGTTTAGGGGTTTGGGTTCAGCAGTTTCGAGTTTAGGCCCTGAGTCCCCAAACCGTAGACCCGGTACAGCTGAACCATGCCCTCTGAAGCTCTAGCCAGAAACCCGAAGTCCGAAGACGTCGTCGTCTCAACCCTTCAGCCTTAATATAGAAGCCTATATGTATACCAGTATTATTCCTTTGGGTTCCTTATTATAATAAGTATAGCATAAAGAAGCCCAAAACCCTACTTTAATTATAAAGGCCCCGATACTAAACCCTCAGATCCAAACCTCAGCTCGAAGCTGTCCCTGCACCCTAAGCCCTACCTTAGCCTAGCAAAACCCACTATTTTGTTCTTCTTCTGAACCCCAGCATTGAATTTATAGAAAGCCTACTAGCAGTTCAAGGTTCACCCCAAAACTTAGAGGTCGTGGTGATCTGGGCTTCAAGACATGGAAATGCGGCACTGACTGGCACCGATCAGAATTCTGGCTGCAGGGGTTCAAGCTGTTGGAGGGCAGGCTTCAGGATTTAGTGGTTTCGGGTTCGCTTAGGGGTTTGGCGTTTTACTTTGTTTTTCGGTGGTTGGGGGTCGTGGATCTGTGTTCTTTAGGTTTGGTAACGCTTGACAAGGTTGTCTCGGCTTCGATACGGTTTTGCACACTGTGGCGAAGGTTCTTCGGGTTTGACAGTTGCGCAGGATGTAGGATTGCTTTGGGGTGACTTGGGGTGTGGTTGAGTCTTTGGGGTTCGGATTTCGGCACTCGACACTGTTCAGCGTTTTGGCGGGTTCGACGTTGATGTTCTGGATTTGGGGTGCCTCGTCCTCAATCAAGAACCCCAACCCGAAGGTCGGGGGCAGCAAGTACGGGTAAAGCGGTACTTTTCGAAATCCCAAACCCACCAAAGAAGTTTGGGGTGTAGGAGTCAGTGCTCAGGCTGCAGTACTTTCCAAAACCGCCAACTAAACCCAGAGGTATCCGGGCACCACGCCGTCTGAGAGACAAGCCTTCTTCAAACAGGCCCCCAGTTTGGTTCTCGGGTTGCCCTTTTGGGTTTAGGGTTTAGGCTTTGAGGGTCTTTGCCAGGGTAGCATTGGGTTAATCTATCGTGTTTTCAGGGGTTTGGTAGTCCAGGATTGCAAGCTAAGGGTTCGGGGTTAGCTGTTTTGGGGTGTTTAAATTGGGTTGTAGGGTTCAACTCAAGGGATGTGACTCACTCTGTATGGGTACAAGGGCTCACAGGTTTCTGTGCGTAAGGTTTCGGGGGGGGGGGAGGAGGCCATCCTTATGATAGCTTCGAACATGAGCTTCAAGAAATTTGCTCCGCGAAGCACACCCTAAACCCTAAAACCCCCTAAAACCCCCTAAACCCCAAAGCCCTAAGTGCTAAGCCGTAAAGCATGATACTCAGAAATACCAGCTCAAGGTGGCCAGAAACTGGCAGCAGAGGCTTCGGGATTTGGGGCACTTTTTTGTAAGGTAGGCTCCATGCTCGAATGTTCAGGCCGTTGCGCCCTGCACTTCACCGGGTCTCCTTTGCAGGTGGAGGACGTTTTCGGAGAGCTCCTCATGGAGAATGTGAGCTACTGGGCATCATTCCGTAGACCCGCGAACCCCCATTGCCGAGCCCTAAAGCTCCACTCCATAATGCTCCCTGATGGACCATAAGGCCGAAACGCCCGAGCCAGAGCCAAGAGGGTGTCTCTCTTTGTTCGAATCCTCGGAATGGGTCATCAGGTCGACTGTGAGAGTCAATTTCTGGTAAACGGAGAGTGCCATGTAGTCACGTGTGAGTATTCGAAGAGGAGGCCGTTTAGACAGCCATACGAACCCAGAGACTCTTCATATAATATAGAGGTCTGAAGTGTCAGTCATGGTGTACTGTCCCTCGCTTACCGATACTATAGCATACTTCCGGCTGCCTCTCTTGCGACGCCCCTACTAAACTTGGTCCTCTTGGCTGTGGAGAGTATGCAATATCGGGGCTTGAAATTACCAATTCATTTTATTCCTTTGTAATTATGTTATCTTGTACCCCGAGCCAAGGCCCTTACAGTAGCACCTTGAAATCTGGTTCTTCCCTGGAGTCCGGCCCGGTCCAGTCTGAGTGAAGTCTAGTGTCCAGGGATTTTGGGTCTAGTGGTGCGGGGTCCCTTCCAAGATGCCGCATTCGCGCTAGCTGCATCGGTCTTCGTACGTCCATAAGAGGTTGCTGAAGTCTCTCCTTTACTCTTCTTTCCCCGGACCTTCGTTGATGAGAGAGTTCTTTTCTTCACAGAGTCCGACCCGTGCGAATCCCTCCAAGACTTTCCAAGCCCCTGCCGTTCAACGTTTTTAGCAATTCTAATCCCTGACCGGAAATCCTTGTTCAGGGGTCGCAACATCATCGAATGCGAGACTAAACTCCGACCTCAAGTCCTCCATGCCACACAGCCCAAACCCTTATAGTTTACCGTCTTATAGATTTTGAAAGTACGCTATCTGAGCAGGATGTCCTAGTAGTACACAATAGTATATTACAGTATCTCATATATCTCAATATATGCCCCGAACAGTCCAGGGTATCATGCTTTGGCTCTGAAACCCGCCAGAAAACGAGTCGGAGGATTGGGCTTTGCCTCCCCTAATCCCTAAACCCTAATCTCGAGGTCTGAATGAGACCGGCGTAGCGGAGCTTCAGCGCCGCAATCAGCCACGCAGCGAAACTCACAAGGGCTTTCGGGGGTTTAGGAGGGCTTAGGACTTTTTTGTTTAGGGTTCTGGGTGGAGGTTCAGAGTTTACAAAGCGTGAACACCCGACTCGAAGGTTATAGAGATAAAGAGGACCCCTGAAGGACAACCCCCCAAACCTAAACCCTAAACCCTACGCCCTAAACTGTACATAAACGCTAAACCTTTCAAAGCCCCGAAGCCCTGAAAGCAAAGACGCAGGGGGGACCCTAGATCCTCAAGCTTGAGGCGACTTCTTTGGTTCGCTTCCGACTACGCCGAGTCGACGAAGCGACATGCCGCGGTTGGAAGGGCCTTTGGAAGAATCGAGCCGAGAGTTGGGGGTTTTGCAGACTTTTTGAGGGTTTGGAGTTTGGGGTTGACGGTTCAGGGTTTGGGAGTTGAGGGTTTAGGGTTGAGGGTTGAGGGTTCAAGCTTTGCGGCCTTGGACGCCTTGGGAGCCTTTGGGTTCCAGGGCTTTCGTTGGGTGCTTTGGAGAGTTTCCGTAGTTTTGGGGTTTAGGGTTCGGGTTTGGGTGTTTAGGTGGTTGGGGGGCTGGGGGCTTCCGGCTTCTAGGGTGTAGGTTTGCGGAGTCGGGGTGCTCGCCTGTAGGCTTTGCAGGTTTCCGGGTAGAGCCTGCTGTTTCAAGTTTCGAAGTTTGGGGCTCTGCAGGGTGTCGGGCTAAAGGGCTTATCTTTACCTATAACCTACCGAAGCATACTTTTTTTGTAGGGTTTCTATAAATTCCATATTGGGGTTTATAATAAGAACCTACAAAAAATAGGTTTTTGTAGGTTAAGGGTAGAGGTCGGGAGTTTAGGCTCGAGGGGTCACGGGCTTCGGCTCGGGAGGTTCAGTTTTACTGAACCCCCAAACCAGATACTCCGGCTCAAGCTGCCGCTTGGCTGTCCATGTAGTTTCCTTCGCCTGCTCCTTGCTGCCAGCTAGATTCACACCCCAACTTTCGACGATGGATCTTGGTGACACAGAGGCGCAACCTGGCCCATCGTCCTCGACCAGAAAGAGAAAAAGCGAGTTCTACATGCCGCACCTTGTGCACCCTACCATGAAGGCCATCGACCCGACCGACCTCGAGGAGAAACCGGTCTCGAAGAAGGCGATGAGAAAAGTCGACCGGAGCGGAAGTTGAACAAGGTGGAACAATGCGCGTCTCGAAAAGGGCGCAAGCATCCCAAGTGAGAGCTCTGCGGCTCTGTGGGTTCCTACTGGGCTATCGCGAGCAGTACCAATCTGCATCACGTCTCCCAGCCGTTGAAGTCCTCGGGCATCCGGAAGCGCTGAATCTGCAGGGCCTGTATTGAGTGCCGCATCGATTAAATGAGGGGTCACCCGCCGCGTGCTTTTCATGTTTCTGCAAAACAGCGGCCCTAAACCCTACGACCCTAATCCCTAAACGGCCCTAAACCTTTTTAAACCCGATCAGAAGCCCGCCCTCAGGAGCTCTGCGCGGGCGTGGGATGCCCGGTCCCTCGACAACCAGCTGAAAGGCAAGGTCTGGCAGGAGATTGAGTGTTTAGGGGTAAGGGTTTGAGCAGGGCCAAGGGTTTAGTGAGGTGGTTCGGGGCCTTTGTCCTTGGGGTTTGCTGTTCAGGGTGCAGGGGTTCATGATTTGGAAGGGATCAAAGGTTTAGGATGTAAGGATTAAGGGACCGAGGGAGGGAAGGATGAAGCATGTAAGGAGAACAGGATGCAGAGTTCAAGGTTGTCGGATGTGCAGCAAATTTTAGAGTTTAGGTTTGGGATTTAGGGTTTAGGGGCTTGGGCTGTTGTAAGGGTTCAGGATGGAAATAGAGCACACAGAAGGTTCCGCTTGCATGTTGCACTGCACGATTGCCTCGGTGTTGTCGCAGAAAATAGCAGGGATCTAGGACAGACTTTGGGAAGGGGACAGACTTCTGAGGAAACGACGGAAAATCAAGCGCTTGCGGCGGCTCTCTCACCATGTCGGTCTGTATCTGCCAACACTTCCAGCGACTTTTTCAGAGACAGACCCTAGACCCTAACCCCGAAAGCCTAATCGCTGGACCTGAGTGGTGAACAGCTTCTGACACGCGCTTCAGGGCTGCAGACTAGGGCTTGAGTTACAGTAAGGGGTTTGGCTTGGGTTTTTCGGTTTTGTGTTTATAGTTAGGGCTTAGGTCTCAAGACTTCAGTCCCTACCGGATTGAAGAGCAGTCCCTCAACCCTAAAACATTGTTGCCAACCTTGAACCCAGTCGTCAAACACAAGAAGGCAGGCCCTTAGCCGTTGCCTTGCGCAGAACCACATGACTAAACGTTGTATCAGCATTCCGAAAGCCTGGCCGCAGGTGGAGGTCACGGACGAGAGTTCGTCGACTTCATGACACAAGGACCCAGTTTGCCACAGTCACGATCACGACCATGATGACAAAACAATGCTGCCTCCGCCGCCGCTGCTGCTGCTGCTGCCCACGATGATGGTGGTGATGATGGCAATGGCGATGCCGATGGTGACTTCGATGACGACGACGATGCTGGTGACGGGGGTGTCTTGCCGGGCTGAGCGCCTCAAGCCTAAACGATCACCAAAAAATGCCAAAAAAGTAAACACTCCTGCTTTCCCTTCCCCTGCACTTAGGATCTATAGTAAGTAACATGGTTTCCTTATGGCATTCCCTAACTAACCCAGCTTCCCCGTGGAGGAGCCAGCAAGCTCCGTGAAGACGGTGCTCGCAATCAGTTTTTGCTGGCTCCATGGCACCGTTCTTTCTCCGCTATAGGGCCTCAACTCAGGACCCGAGGCCCTAAGCCGGAAAAAAAATAAAGGCTTTCACTTCTGGCTTAAGCCTCATGCTTGGCAGGTGGGTTCCTAGAACCTAAACCCCTTAAAAGAGCCCTTTCGAGAACCCGTCGAGCCTGAGGTTAGCATGTCGAGTGGTCCTTCGCAAGCTGCCGTTGAGGATGCATTGAAGCTGGACGGGCCCGAGCGCGGTGGAACTTTGTTGTATTATCCGTTTTTTATGCATCTCGTTTTGGAAATGTAAAAATGTTCAGGGGCGATTGTTTATTCCTTTTCTTTTTTCAAGCTTTGGGGTGAAGATTTTTGTCTTTTCTCAGGTTAGCGCTGCAGGGCTTCGAGCTTACGGGCGGAAGAAAGTAGCCCAGGTAATGGCCAATACTAGTTTGGGCTTGTTATGCTTGTAGTATGATGTGCCCGGAAACCCCATTCCAAGTAAGGGCCCTAAACAATTTTGTTGTGTCTTCCGGCGTTTCATGGTTTGGAGCCGAGAGACTGTAGGGTTGGAGGTAGCAGGCTTCCGTCGAAGGACGAAGGGCTGCCAGGCTTCGGGTGTTTCAGCTTGTTTCTGAAGGCTTTCAGGTCTGTGGAAACGTAGGGCTGGGTGTTTTTGGAGGCCAAAGGCCAGAAGGTTTAGGGGTTTAGGGTTTAGGTTTAGGGGGTAAATTAGGGTGTAGGGCTCAGGAGTTCTACAAAAGTCTTCAGAAGCACATGCTGTGGGGCTTGGAGCTCCTCATCACCCGTTGGAAGTAGCCGATCGCTAGACCCGCGCGTTGGAAATGTCCAGACTAACGCCAAATAAACCCTAAACCCCAATTAGTCTCCAAGCCCGAAGGCCTCAGCCCTAAACCCTTCACCCTAGAGAACCCTTACGAACCCTTACAACAACCTCTTGCAGTAGCCCTTAGTTCGGTCATGACAGGACTTCCTTCCCGATGTCTTCGGAGAGCACAAGAAGTGGAGTCAGGACAGAACGGGTTCTAGTTCGGGATTTTGGTCCAGCTTTCCTCTGCTTTCCTGAGGAAGGGTTCTTTGGGCTGACTTTCTCACCGGTGGGGAGGACTGCGCTGAGAGCTCCAAGATACCGAACATGACATCCTGGTGCCCAGAGTCGCTGATGGACTGGGCTTTGCTAAGCAACTACTACAATCAGCGGCTCGGCCTCTTATGGTTTCGCTCTTCGGGGGCCTAGGGATCCAGCCTCAAGCGGGGAGGGAGGTAGAGAAACCTCACATCGTCTTTCCAAGGCCCTTGTAGGCTTTGCAATAGATGGGGGTGAAAGGGTTCATAGGGCTTCGAGTGCTCATAGAGATCAGGGTTGAAAGGGCCTTTAGGCCTAGAGTTTAGGGTTTAGGGTTTAGAGTTCTCCAAACCCTGTGGACTCAGCACAACGGAGCTGACGAGCGCGGTTTGCACGATTTGAGGCCGGATGGTGTCTCGGAGTTTGAACTAAGTGAGGGCTGTCGTGTTACGGGGCTTTAGGGTATAGGGTTTAAGGGCTTCATAGATTTGCTGAGGCTTGGTGCCCGAGCCTTGCAGCCCTTCCATGATGCATCCTACCCATAGTCAGACTCATCTTCAAGCTTGGAAGCCGAACTCGTCTCAAGCTTGCCACCCGATTCTATCTACATCCTCATCCCTATAATCCTTAACTCCCTAAACCCTAAGCCGTGAACGCTAAACCCCAGACCCAAAACCCCTAAGCCCAAAGCCTTGAACCCCGAACCCAACCCCCCAAACCCTAAAACCCTAAAACCCTAAACCCACAATCCCTAAATCCTAAAACCAGAAACCCTGAACCCACAACCCTTAAACCCTGAAGCCCTAATACCCTGAAAAGTCCCTTTGTCCCAGGCGGGCCCTTGACTTTATCTACAACCTGGGAGCCTCGACTCTCGAAGCCGACTTTCCCAACGCGATCTACATCAACACTGCTTTCCGGATTATTTTATCTATTATTATGACTAATGTAATTATTATTACTATTATTATTATTATTACCATTATTATTATTATGTTTTTTATGATGATTTGTATTGTAATTACTAATGTTATTATTATTATTCTTGTTAATATTACTATTGTTACTATTCTTGCTGTTATGTACTGTTGTTATTCTTAGTAGTAGTCGCCGTCGTATTCCTAAATTTCCTAGACCCCTAAAGTCCCCCTGAACTTCTAAAGCCGTTTAGGAAGGTTTCGGTGGTCTTGAGCATACGGTTTAGGGTTCAGGGTTCAACGTGTATGGTTTGGGGTTTTGGGTTCAGGGTTTAGACTTCATGGTTCGGGATTTGGGGGCTTAAAGTGTGTATGGTTGAAGGGTGGAAGTTAGTCAGCCCGCCCATTCTCATCTTTGACCCCAGCGCAAACTGTATCAGCATCTGAACCCTACAACCTTTGCACCCTGAACCCCTTGCTCCAGAATGAAGCGTGTTCATAGCTGCTGTGTCTGCACTCGGATAAGCAGCAGTTACTAAATGGGGGTTTCCGAATGTAGGGGACCCCATTATAGCAGTAGGATCCTTGTTATAAACACCCCAAAATAAGGTACCCTCTACTTTCGGAAACTCCCAAATCTCCCAAACCTGATTCGCGCATTTACGGATGTCGCATCCCCGAAAGCAAAAGCTCCGAAGGCCTTCAATAAGACCCGAAACCCACACCTTGAGAAGATGCTGGTCTACTCTATCAGAAGCCTTAAACGTCCTAAGACCTAAAGTGCTCAAGGTCCCTGAGACTTCTGTAGCCCAAAGCCCCAGAGGCCCCGAAACTTATACACTGAACCAAGCCATGAGATCATAAAACAGGGGCCCTTTGCTCCGAACATATCTTCCAAGGTTGATGCGGGAGGCCTCATCCGCACTGGAACGGTGCCGCTGCTGCAGTGGAAGTCATTTCGGTGCGAACCTTGATTGTAGGAGGCATGTGGAGATATTTGTACATTGTACATTTACATATATGCATTATGTGTATGGACGTGTAGACACCTACATACATACATACATACACACACACACACATATATATATATATATACATATGCTACACCCCCCCGATGTACCTACCTGTTTGGTGTGTTTTTACCACCGGTGTGTGTCCGCGGGATCTGGCCTCAGCCACTAAATACGTTTTCCAGTATTTTTCGCCTCACCCATTTCTCATCTAGTCACTATCTGTTCCCTAAAGTCTCACCGACTCACCGTCAAGCAATTGTTTCTCCTAGAGCATGCATCCAGTTGTGTGACGCTTCATACCCGTCTGCCTCGTCCCTACATGCTGCTCAAGCCACACAACCAGTTAATCTAACATTCAGCAGAGGAAAAATGGGTTAGCAAACCTATCACACTGGATCTTAGTTAATACCATGTAGACCTGAAGCATATACAACTGGAACATTGGTATGTGAACATCACACGTTCGGCGAGTATTGAATGAATTCTGACATTTGGTTACGTGTTACTTACATATACGTAAAGAGCTCGGCCCTGCAGGCGAGTATTTAGATGGGCTTCAACTATTGCATTAATCTGTAACCGTGAGACACAGCCTGAAGATGATGTAGATATCAAGCGCTAGACGAGAATCTTCATTATTGGGTTTCAATGGGAAGATGCAGCGAGCATGACCCAAACACCAAACGAGTAATACTCAAAATAGAGGAATAGAGGTTTAATGATCAACAATCATTAAAGAGCATCTACACAGTGGTTCTGTACGGAAGATACGTTTGACTAAGTACTGAATACTTGTGCATCACAATTTGTTGTTTGCATGTACTACATATAGCAATAATTTCAGTCGTATAATATGGAACTATTGCGTAATGTTTATGTGAACCCAGTTGAAACTTTCCCCTTGTTGAAGTAGTAGTTAGACATCATATTGAGCATGAATTAGGTATCAAACCGATATTTGTATTTGTAGTGGTCTGGCACGTGTCCCAAAGCCAATTCCAACATGGAATGGCCGCTGCTTGCAGATTGTTACGTCCAAGAAAAGTCATGGCAGTGATGAACTTGCGCATACATAGTGATGAGCTTTAGAGGAGCGATGAAAAGTTCTTAAGCAACCAAGGCTCGCAAAACGTATTATCTAGTAGCAGCGATAAATGTTTGACGAAAATGAAACCGCGTGCATTGTTGTAGTGGTGCTTACAGTACTTCCAGCTCGATGTATGTGCGTGTGAATGTGCTTTCGTACATGTTGTTTGCTATGTGTGCGGCTGTTGTTGATATATCCATTAAATTCCACTGAGGCGTAAGGCTACAGCAAGTTAGCGTTGTAGTGGTGTTTCCAATGTTTTGGGCTCCGTGCGTGTCAGTTTTGTTGTTGTTTCCTATGTAGTAAGGCTGCGTGTGTGCTATTTTTATTGTGGTTTTTCCAATGTCTTGGGCTCCTTGTGTGTCACTTTTATTGGTTTTTTGTTTTGGGCTCCTTGTGTGCCACTTTCATTTTTTTCCAATGTTTTGGACTCTTTGTGTGCCACTTTCACTGTTTTTTCCAATGTTTTGAGCTCCTTGTGTGCCACGTTTATTGGTTTTTCCAAAGTTTTGGGCTCCTTGTGTGCTACTTTTGGTGGTTTTTCCAATGTTTCCGTGTTTCAGCAACCGAAACATTGGAAAAACAAATAAATACCATAAAAACAATGATTTTCAAATTATCTCCAGGCGCGACACCACACCCGATAGATAATTTGAAAATCATGGTTTTTTATGGTTTTTATTGGTTCTTCGAACGTTTTCAGCTCTTTGTGTGCTAAAACATTGTTTTTTCTAACGTTTTGGGCTCCTTGTGTGTCACGTGCATTGTTTTTTCCAATGTTTTGGCCTTTTTGTGTGCCACTTTTAATGGTTTTTCCAATGTTTTGGGCTCCTTGTGTGCCATTTTTTGTGGTTTTTCTAGAAAGTTTTGGGCTCCTTGTGTGCCACTTTTATTGGTTTTTCTAATGTTTTGGACTCCGAGTAGGGTAAGTCATACTGTTCGAGAGAGCACAAGTGACACGTCGGACTTCAGAGGTTGCGCAACTCACCTACGTCGTTCTGTCTTACATCCTAGGGCCTGCTAGGGGCAATCAGCCCCTGTGCCACTGTGGTGAATGTCGTGAAACCAGGAAAGGCAGGAAAAGGGTAGGTACATGGGGGGGGGGCACCATATATATATATATATGTATATATATATATACATATATATATATATATACATATTATATATATATATAATACTTAAGTACATACATGTTTGATCCTGTCATGGTCTTGAAGCCCGGTTCCTTAAATTACCCGATTTCGATGTGTCGGGTGGCGAGGGGGAGCTCGGAAATTGCCGGAATTCACTTGAGAGACGTTTAGTAGTACAGTAGGGTCTAGGGTTTAGGGGTTTAGGGTTTAGGTTTTAGGATGACCTAACAGCGTATATCACAGAGTAACAGCTTACAAGGTAATATAGCATGCATGCTCGTCAGTGTCAGTATGCTTGTGGCATGGGTTGTCATGCCTGCTATGTGCACTAGTATCGCGAAAAGGCCGTAGCCCAAGACTTGTTCTTCTTCAGGCCAAGATCAACCCCCTGGACGAGGACGCAGCGAAGTCGATTTTGGATGTGCATGCAGACGTTGATAGCACAAATGATGGAGATGATGATTAATGATGGTGGTGATGGTGATGATGATGGTGGTGCTGATGATGATGATGATGATGATGATGATGATGATGATGATGATGCGAACCTCTTAACCCCTAATGGCATGCAAGCTGTCGGAAGCGCTGAGCTCGATACTGATTAACTGAGGTTTCAGGATTTCCGAAGTAGTCCGGGTTCGGGTTTGGGGTAGACGACATTTCTTTTTTTGAGGGCCCGCAGGCTTTGGAGCCCTGAAACGGTTGAGGGTGGTCAAAGGTTCGGGCTGAGAGTTGTGGGATCGATCAAAGTTCCATTGCCTGCCTTACTTACAATATGGGTTTTCTGTGGCAGCATTGTCTTAACTATTGCCGCCAATGTCAGCGTGTTCGCCACACGTTTGGGACTCTTGTCTCAGGGTTGGCCTGCCAGGTCTGACAAGCTTGAAACCTTATTCGTACACCTTGAACTCTAAACCCTAAACTTCAGTTAACTCCGTACATCTTGAATTGAGGCCTGAAGCATCGTGCGAATTGGATCCTCGCCCCTACACCCCAAACCTGTAGAGGAGTCGCGTGTGTCGGACGACAGTCATGCCGAAGATGGCTATGTGCCAAAGCTGCAATGATTTCAATCCAAGCGGGCACGATAATCACGTCTGTTCTGTGTCTACAATCCTTGTATGCAGCCCCAGACCCGACGCTTTTCAATCCTGGCGTACATAGAGCGGAACATGAACATGTCAAGACCCCTTCTCTAGACCCCAAGAGCTGCACATCGCAAACCCTGCGCTAAAGCCTAGCCTAGGCCCTGTACGACTGGCATTGTCAGTACTGTTTTTCTTGATTCTTAGTATCATGAGACTCCAAGAGTACTTTGAGGGTTCAGGGCTAAGTTTGGGTTAAGGGTTAAGGGTTTAGGGTTTAGGTTTGGGTTTAGGCTTTGAGCGTTTTGGGTTCAAGGAGGTCAGCTCTTCCAAGCTGAAACCATCAAGCTTCACCGCTGCAGCCCTGAACGACTACTTGCAGTGTGGGGTGCAACCTCAATGTTGACCCATGGAATAGTGGAACCAGCTTCCCTGAACCCTGAGCCCGAAACCCCAGCTCGGAAAATCAGTCAAGTCTTCTGATTTTCAGCGTGGCGCTGGGCAGTCGGGACAAGAGTGCAAAGCTCCGACTCCTCCGACTTTGTAGTTTTGCATATGGGGTCTATTTCTTAGCTTTGTGCTTTCACTTTTGCTCACCTCGGCTGCCAATCAGTTCAGGATTGAGCCTTGAAACCTGTCACCCAGGTGTGACAGTGCGCCCAAACATCCAGAACTTGCCCAGATGCTCGAAACCCAGGCGTACCATAGCCCGGTCGAGCACCTGGTGATACCAAGCTCGAAACACAAACCAAGCCTCGTAAAGTCTTTAAACCCCTTCTTCTTTTTCAGTTCTTGTAATGCCGTAACTGCCCTGTGAGCCTCTTTCTGACGATATTATACCTCCAAAAGCCTATCAGGGCATATCATACCCCCACACCATATCGTATTTCGATCTCTACTTGGCCTAGTGGGTCTCGGAGCCACGAAAAGCGAGGCCTATGCAGCCACGCTCATCGCAGCCAACGTGCGCCGTCTGTGCCGAAAGACGCGGCGACTTCGCTTTTCAGTCGAGGGCATGGGCGACAACCCTAAACCCGAACAGTAAACCTCAAACCCTAGATTGTTGAACTCAAAACCCCGAACCCTAAGCCACAAACACTAAAGCCTTTGTAGAACTTGCGGGAGACTCTGCATGGGTTTCTGAACCGTCATGAATCTCTATAGAGCACCCTGAAGAGCCCTAGTGATGAGACGCTTTGCCCTGTTCAATACCCCAATCACCAGACTCCCATGCTCTTTCAACGAATTCAAAAACTCATTGACCGCTATTGAGCATGCACATCCGTTTCCAAAGCCGAATCCTAGGATTGAGCTCGATAGCACGTCCCTTTACAAGCATCAGAATCCCCAAACCCTACACCGTAAACCCTCAAACCCCTAAACCCCAAACTCTAAACCCCTAATCCCGACAACCCTAAACCGTAAACCCTAACCCCTAACCCCCAAACCCTAAACCCTAGAATCCTAGAGCCCTGCACTTTTCTGCTCCTCTGTTGCCTTGCAGGGCCGAAGGCTGCGATGCCTTGGCCGCCGGTGCCGCCTCGGCGCGGGCATTGCATCCGGTGAGCCTCTGGGAGGAGCGCCCGAAACCCGAAAGGCCCGAAACCCTAAGCCCTAAATGGGGACCCTTACAGGAACCCTGATAGAATCCTTCGGAAGAACTCTCTTACGGGAACCTTGGGAGGAGCGAGAAGAGGAGGATCTGGGGATCTGGGGGTTTGGGGTTTAGGTTGAGGGGTTTCGGGCTTTAGGGGTTTGGGGCTTCCGGTTTAGTGGCTTTAGGGGTTTGGGTGAGCCTCCCTCCCATGAGGAGTATTAGGGTTACCACAAGACTATAAGGTTCAATATCGGGGTCCCGGGTTGGAGGTTTAGGGATGTCGGGAGAGGAGGAGAGGTTTGAGATCTTCGGCTCGGGAACCTTCGTTTTCGGATTGAGGCTCGAGGGGTCCTTGGGCTTTTCGGTTTTAGAGTTTAGGGCTTTCTCCATTCTCCAGGCCCTTGTAGGGTTTAGAGGTTTGTGCCTGGGAGGAGAGCTGTGGGAGAGCGCGGTTTAGGTTTAGTGAGAGCACTCCTTTCTGGAATCTTAGGGTTGGGGTTCTCGGGTTTTTTGGCAAACCTCAGTGTTCAGGATTGAGGGTTGCACTTGGCCTTCGGGCTCCAGGGTTGAGGGTTCAGGGCTTCTGGGATTGGGGTTCAGGGCTTCAGGGGTTGGGTTTTAGGGTTTAGGGTTTAGGGCGTTAGGGAACTTTGCAGGACTCTCATCACGGACGTCGCCAAGCTGCAGACCAATTTCCACGGCTCTTGCAGCTTTTGCTTCGTAGCAGGAGTACTTCGAAGCGGGGGTTCTAAGTAGGGTAACTCCCAGTTACAACCCATGTTATGGAACTTATAGCCCCATTGAAACAACCCATGAACCTCCAAGCAACTCTGCGCAAAGTATTCCAAACATGTTGGTCTGAGATGTGTGTAAACCCTAAGCCTTAAGCCCTAAACACACGGAAAAACAGCATGTATCTAGACGGACATACTTTCGAAGCCAGGCTGATATACAAGTTGACCAGCAATAACTCCACACTCTTCTCTGCAACTTCTGAGCTCCTTCTAAGTCAAAATAGATGGTGTAAATACCAATCAGGGCCTAATTAGGGTCTCTTTTGGGGTTCCCAAACTCTATCGTGCCGGACTAAGGGTAGAATGACATAGGCTTCCCCAAGGGGACAATGATGTTGACAGTTACCTTATCTCCCACGAAGCAGAAGCATCCATAATCAAGCCCAACCTACGCCCTGAACCCCCTGACCGCAAACGCGCTTAGCCCTCAGTCCTTCATACAATCTTGAATAGGATCCTTAACACGAACCCTTCTAGAACGCTTAGAGGATCCCTGAAAAGAACCCTTTTGGAACCCCGAGCCCCAAACCTCGGTGAGGCTTGGTCAACTGGCCAGTTCTGGCCCCCACCATTGCGGTGATCTGAGTAAGAGCGGAGCAGATGCCGCAGAAATGAAGTGCTGGGTTTTGAGGCTTTATGAGGGGTTTTAGCATGAGCTTCTGGGATCGGAAAGGATCGGACACTTCCAGGCTGAGGTTTTGCGTGTAAAAGGTGACCATAAAGCGGGGTTTCAACAAGCAAGAGGTGCCTTTTTGAGGGATCAAGATTCTACCATTGAAAGTTCATACTTTCCTGAACCCGGAACATTCAGCCTAAATTTTGACCCCCAGACGCCTACCCCAACATACACCCGAAAGTCCCCAAATCCTGAGCCCCGGACCCAGAACCCCAGTGCCACACCCCAAGCAGCCACGACCGCAAGAAACCCCGAACCGCGAAACCCCAAATCCCAGCACTTCGAGCCCAGCCCCCGGGGCACTTTATTTTTGCAAGCTGCCGCCTGCAGTCCGCGCTGGGTTGTGCAGGGAGCTACCTTAAGATGCCTGCTTTAATATAGGGGTCTTAAAAATTAGAATAGGCTTTTGGGGCCCAGTATGTTATACTTGTAATAAGGAACCCCCCAAAATAGTATTGGTAGTATTTAGGCCCCTACATTAGGGACCAGTAGCTTGTTATCCAGGGTTTGTCAGTGTTGGGTCATCCGGGCGCCCCAAACTCGACAATCTAAAGCCGAATTTCTAAACACTAAACCCTGGGAAAAGGAGTTCAGGCAAACCCTAAACCCTAAACCCGAAACCCTTAAGCCCTAAGCCCTAAGCCCCAAACCCTACTTCATTGGCAGATATTAACCATACAACAAGTTGAGAGGGCCTTGAGCTCTAAATTCAGGACCTAAATCCGAAGCTGCGCACACGAAGTAGGGTTTATAGTGGGAGCTGGGTGGGCGCGCGCGTATCTTGGGCTTCTGGAGTGTAGGATACTTGGAAGAAAGGCGCTTCCTCACATGAGTTAAAGTCAGAATTATTCAGTTCACAAGATGGGGATATTTCAAGATCGAGCCATTCCGAGTCCTAGAGAACGTTCTAGGACAAAGAGGAGTTTTGCTTTGGAGCTGGATCGTACGAGGGAAACGGACGCGAGCTTTACCCACGGGTATATCTGCACGGCCGCCAGAATAAAGTACTATAGCGTCTAAATAATTACCGATACTATTTTGAGAGTTCCTTATTCTGACCATAGTATAGTATACCCCCCAAACTTTATTCCAATTATTAAGGCCCCTACCTTATGGGGCTTCGAGTGTCATCCCGCTCCGCCCTTTAAGACCTCACCACGAATCAAGTAAGCGGCCCCTAAACAAGCTTCAACTCAGAACAATCCAACCTCAACATACAACACTGGATTCAAAAAAATAGTCGTAAAGCTGGGGTTCAGAGGGCCAAAGAGGCAGCTTCCCATGGCAACCCAGCGCCATCGGAGTCCGAGGAACGCCGTTGTAGACGGGATCCTACGACTTCCGGGCTTGAGGCGTAGGGTGAGGGATCCTACGCCCGAAGCCCCCCAACATGAAGGCAACCTTTGAAGAGCGAAGCGGCGTGAAAAGAGCATGGGGTTTGGGGTTTAGTTAGGGCTTGGCGGGGTTGTCGGGTTCAAGGACATTTAGCATTGCACGCGTTTTGGATGGGCATCAGAGCCTTCTGAGATGCAGCGCTGCGGCTGCCGCATCTTGCATGTCAAGACTAAGTTGATGCCAGAGATCTTTAAGTGTGAGGGCATGTGGCTGTCTATGTGGTGCAACGCGCTAATCAAGAGATTACACCTTGTCAACTGAATCCAACCTTACACAACAATCGATCTCATGTGCGCTGCCATCTTCTCTCAATTCGTTCGGCAGTGCTCCTGCACACCCGGAAGGCCAATTGCGCTGTTTGGAGTTGGTCGAAACTCTGGCGACTGTAAGCCGAGTACATTGTAGGGGCCGTCTCAATGATGAGCAGAAGCTGTTTGAGTACAATCCAACGTGCAAATCAACTAAAAGCCTCTTGCAGAGCCGTATAATTTTCGGCTTAGATTTAGGGTGCCGTCGCTGAGCACAGTTGTGTCTAACATCTGAGCATGTGCAGGGCCTGGTTTCAGAGTGGGTTGAAGGTTCAATATCCCCTTGTGTTTTCCCTATATAGCTATGACTGCGGTAACCGCACTCCGCACAAATTGTGTTTTAACTCTTAAGTCCCAAAGGTCATTCGAGCACCTTTCAAGCTTCTGACACGACGATTCAGGTTTAGGGTTCTTGGTTTAGGTTTTTGAGTTTAGGGTTTAAGGTTTCGGGTTTAGGGTGGCCATTGTAAACACGAAATGTTTTCTTTACTTTTTGAGAGTCTTTGCATGCAGGACGATGACATTGCAACCGTCCGCCCCAAGACCAAAACACCACTCTCTGCAAGTGTGCATCATCCAATATGGCTGGTAAGCCGGACCTCCGCACTAACCCCTCCTCCCCCGCCCCTGAAGCCTAAGTCCACAAACCTCCAAACTCAGCTCCAGTCCACCAAAACCAAAATCGCAAGCCGTTATGCTGCGTCGGCAAGCAGGTGCATTAATCTGATCTCACCAGGCTCAGGGGACTATCAAGGGATGTTGATGTTAGCTATTCATACTTCTATAAACTTCTATACCAGTCTCTCCACCCAAGCTGAGCCTATCACCTCAGCCATCCGTGTGCATGCGAGGCGCAAGCGCGACATGGCCCTGCGCTGCAGCCGCTGTGCACACCTCAGCTGACTAGGATTCGGACATGGAGTGTCGAAGTCCAAAACCACAACGCAAGTTAGGGAAATCAAGGATTCAGGGCAGTAGAAGGTTTAGGGTTTAGGGTGTGGTATGTAAGTATGCTATACTATATACTCTGATTGTTGAGGCCCTATATCTTTCAATGCTTCCTTCATCAGAGAAAGCACATCCGACCCACGTGAACCCTAACATACCCCAAACCCTCACCACAAACTCGTAGCTTTGTTTTACTCTGCCAGTCCTGGAGTCTCTGAGACGGTGCGCTTCCTTGTTGGGTTTAGTGTTTAGGGCTTAGGGGCAAAAGGTCGATGGAACCGTTTGGGGTTCATTTTGCTCGCCTCTAACCCCCGCAGCTTGGGATATAGGGCTCTGCTTTAAGGATGTAGGGAAACCAACGGTTTGTGCTGAATGCCTCTTCTATTGGATGTCAGCGCAGCGGAGAATTTAGACCCTAAGCCCAGCCCTAAACCGTAAACCCTAAACCCTGAACCCGGACATGGCACCCTCCACCGTAAGTTTCGCCAAACTTCTCTCCCCGAGGCTTCGATCGCCTTTTTGCCGTCTGTCGCGGCCTATGCTGAGAAGCACGAAGTTCCGATTCCCGGGTTCTGGAGTGGGATGTAGATACGCGGGATGTTGGCGTATTTCATGAGATGTTTATAGGAAGTACAGGTATAAAGCAACGTTGTTATTGATTGTTCAGACCGCTATAGTAGAATTTAGGGCTTCCGGCTGTTGTGGATGTTGCAGATCTACGCTTCAGCTTTAGTAGTGCCATGCAGAGGCCTGAGATTTTTGCCCGTACTATTCTTTAAGGTTCCTCACTATACTTGCATTACCATATATACCCCAAGCCCTGTTCTGTGTATTCAGGCCCCTACGTTACGTACCAGGAGCTTGGAATCAGGATGGGCTCTCCTGAATTCAAAGACTCCAACATTCCGAAATTCAGTATCATTCCCCCTAAGCCCTAAACCCGTTATTAAAAGCAAAAACGCTTAGAGAACCCTAGCTTCCATAGGGTGGTTTCGCAACTGTGGGATGTTGGAGTCTTTAAACCCATAGAAGGGCCGTGACGCACCGTATCAAATCCTTCCATGGCTGTATGTACATGTGTAATTATATGTGTATATGTTTATATATACATACATATGTAAAAATATAAGTATATGTATATATATATATATAACGCTGCGAGCTAGTCCGTGAAAATCCGAATGAAGCCCAGTGCAAGCCCTGCGCAAGCTTACCCACAAACCTTTGACCCTCAAGCCTATGCTCTAAGCCGTAAGCCACTACCCCTCGGCCTTATATCTTTACCCTAAACCCTAGATGCACGGATCCTATACCCTAAACCCCATACATCCTGTACCCTTGAAAGAAGCCCCAACCGAAAGCCCAAGCCCCCGCCCGCACTAAGCCCCCGTGAGCCGGGGAGCCGAACGCCAGCAGGCCTGCGAAAGCTTTAGGGTGTAGAGCTTCTAGCTTTGTATTCTGTTTTGTTAGATGTGTATTGTGTTTCTAATGTGTTTGTCCTTAAAGCTTTTTCGTACGGTGTTATGACGGTCCTAGGAGATTTCTCCGTGTTTCTCCAAGGGTTCCAAAAGGTGGGGTGAAGGTAGGATGAATTGCAAGGATCCTATATCTAAGGAGGCTTGACCGCGAGTTCAGGTGCAGGGTCTGCGCTTCTGATGTACTGGACCTTACGAAGTTGATGCGACTTCTGTGCATCTGTGGAATTCGGGTCAGGGACTTCTTGCTTGCTAGTGTAGGTATGCTTCATGTGTTGATGTGTCCCTGACGACAGGAGGCGGTTGACCCTAAACCCCAAACCCTAAACCCTAAAGCGTTAAACAAAACCCCCTTAACCCGAAGCCCAAATTCAATCAAGTACTGTTGTAGAACAGAGCACAAAGTTCAATCAAGTACTGTAGAACAGAGCACAGAAGCGGTGAGTCCCCTGCATAAGATCCTGGAATAATTCGGTTTTAGGGTTTCTGGGTTTTAAAGTTTAGGGATTACGGTCTCTATGTTTAGGGTTCAGGGTTTAAAGTTTAGGGTTTCCATGCACGGGGAAATCGGAAATCTTGGACCTTCAACTTCTCATCGGCCCTGGCCCCGAAGCACCGAGCCTCAAATTCTCCCGCTTGTGCCTCAAAGCTCAGAGACATGTCTTGACGCCCTGGCCCGAGCTTTTTGCGGTTCTTTTCTGATTTCTTCTTGACCGTGGGAATTCCGAAGGCAGGTTGAGGAGCAACACGTCCATCTTTTAACATCGTCGCAGTATAGGACTCTCTACATAGCCGTAACTGTGCTGGGGCTTCAGGGGCTTGTGACGCATGACAGCACAGGGCACAGAGCATCAAATGCGTCCGACTCTGCACATCCACCTGGCCGTGCTGGGCATTTTGGGCTCAAGGCTGTGTGCTGGACGCAGATCAGAATTTTGATTGGCAGTGTGTCTTCCAAGGAGACACCGCGCCCCTGATCCCAAAAGCCCCAGAGCCTGCCCCAAGTAGAGCATTAGAGGCTTTCGAGTGTAGTTGCTTTGTGGGGTTGGCGGTTTTGGCAATTTCGGGCCTTTAGCTTACTATGATGGGTACTTGGGTGTTTGGATTTAGGATGTCACAATTTGTTGCTGCAGTCTGGAACCTAGGCATCAAGCCAAACTCAAGCCCTGAACCTAGAATCCTAAGCACCCCAAGCACTAAACCCAAAATCCAAGAAGCACGAAGCCGTGAACCGAAGTCGTTCGCGCGAAGTGGTGAGAGGGAACCTTCTACACCCTAAACCCTAAAACCCGAAAATCTTAAGAAAATTAAACCCTAAACCCAGAACCCTGAACGCTATAAGCCCTAGAAGCCCTGAAACCCTAAGCTGTTGGCCCCAAAGTCAAAGTCGCGGGAGGATGCAGCTTCTGTCATTCCTCCTCCTCGGCCTCGCCGGGGCCACAGAGCTCACCAAGGAGCGAGGCGGTGGTGTTGGTTCAGGATTTAGGGGGTTTAGGGGGTTTAGGGGGTTTAGGGTTTAGATGTTGAGGGTTTAGATGTTAGAGGGTTTAGGGTTTAGGGTTTAGGGTTTAGATGTTAGAGGGTTTAGGGTTGAGGATTTAGGGTTGAGGGTAGTCAGTTTGCAGACCTCAAGCCCGAACCCCCCGAAACCTTAAGCCACTGAGCCCTGCGCCTGACGCCAGGCCCCAAATCCTAAACTCAAAGCCGTCCGCTTAAACAGCGTGCGTGAAGTGACAAAGCTCTGCAACGTTGAACCTCAAAGCCTGCGAAGTTGCCTGGTCTGGACGTTTTTTAAGGCAGGAAGGGGGTTGGGGGCGTTTCTTCAATCAACAACCGAACCTTGAACCCTAAATCCTAAATGCCAAACTCTAAACCCGAAATTAGGAACCCTTACCCCAAACCTCGCCCTAGCCGTAACCCATACTTACTAGCACCTTAAATGTTACATCCAAAACCCACATAGAGCCCCTGAAGAAACCCAACCATCTGTGTGAGGAGACTTGGGACGACGCCGTGAGCGGCAAGACCGTCTTCGTCAAGTTTCTCGGCCTCGGGCGTTCTAGAGTTTACGTACGGGTTTCGGGTGAACTTGGGGGCCTTTTTTTTGGTCCCAGAGTCTCATTTGATGTATGAACTAGACTAACTAGACAGCCTTGAACCATCTGACGCCCTTAGCCCTGAGCTCCAAACCGTAGTTCCCACCCCAAGCCGGACAAGACTTGTCCCGAAACCGTAGACTGAAGTCCCAAAGCCCTTGACGGAAATTCCTTTTGTATCTATCGAAGACGCCATGAGCAACTCCATAAGGGTTTAGTAATAGAGCCCTGATAAATGCAAAACCGCGCTCCTTAACCTGTCACCCACAGAAACCGTAGAGCACCACACCAAGCATGTTTTGAAATCAGTATTGTGACCTTAGCAAGGGCACTAACCACTCAAATCCCAGCCCTTTGGCCAAAGACCTCGAGTTCGAGTACAACCTACCCCAAACCCATCCTCAAACCCCTTGTGAAGGAACCCTATTCTATGCATCCATCAAGGCTTCCTCTTTCTTGGGCCCCCCGAAACCCAGGTTCTTGGCGCCTTGGTGAGGACACTGCAAGAAGATGAAGCCCGACTGGGACAAGCAGCCGGGCCTTAAAGAGCTGAGCTTTGGTCTGTTCTTACGGGCCATCGTAGGTTCAGAGGGCCTTCTACGGCTTTACCAGGAGAGGTTTCGAAGGTGTGGACAGAAAGTTTAGGTTCGTGGGTTGGAAAAACAGCTTATGGATCGTTTTGACGTACGTTTTGCAAAGGGGCGGGTTTCTTGCTGGTATGCTTGACAAAACCCTGAGCTGCTGGGCTTGGCTTTATCTTCCCCGGCAAAAGCTCATGGTGTTTGCGGCCCTAAACCCTAAACCCTAGTGCTTTAGGGGTTTCGGGCTGTAGAGTGTGGCTCTTAAGTCTGTCAGTGTCTGTAGGAACTGGGGTTGAGGGGCTGCTAGTTCTGGCAGTGTCTTTGGTGGAGGGTTTGGGTTTCAGATGCTCTCACAAGCTCTCAAGAGGTTCCCTCATTCGCGGGGTGAGGTCTGGTTGAAGTTTGTCGGATGTTTCCCTTCTTTCTCTTTTCCTTTCACCCGACACCCCAAATCTGCCAACCGTAAACCCTGCACGAGGCTGATGAAGTTGAACTCTCTAAATCTTACCAAGGTGCCAACCCTAAGCCCTAAACCCTGAGCCCTATAAATCTTACACCCGGTTTAAACCCTAAACCCTAGCACTAAATCTTAAACCCTATAAACCCTATAAACCCCAAGGCATATATTTTTTCTAACCTTCATTTAACCCTGAACCCTAAACTCCAATGGCCGACTCCTTGGTCTCTGCCCAGGCTGATGAAGGAGTACTCTGGCTCCAAGGACATCCTCATCGCCGACGTGGACTGCACCGCTGGAGGTAAGAGCCGCGGAGCTGAGACTTATGGGCCTGCAGAGTGACAGGGCTTTAGGGTTTTTTTAGGGCTGAGGGTTTAGGATTTAGGATTGGGGGGTTTAGATGAGTGTTTGGGGTTTAGGGTTTGAGGTATTCCCACTTCTTTTGCTTAAGAGACGGTTTGTTCAAGGGTCTTCGCAGTTGAGGGTATGTAAAGGGTCTTGTTTTCAATATGCAACTGACCACACCTGCATATCCCGTGTATTGGAGTTTAGGGTTTATGCAGGGTATCCTACAATACCCTTCTTCACGAACGCCGAGGCAAGTGCGAGGAGGTTGGCGTGCGAGGCAACTGGGGCACGTTCGGCCGACAGCTTCGGTTTTAGGGCCTGTCTAATATAGGGGTCGGAATAATTACCAATAGTATTGCCTTATAGCCCGTTATCTACAGTAACTAGAGTATAATCTCCCCCAGAACCCCATTCTAATTATTAAGTCCCCTATTTTGAAGGGTCAGGGCTGGAGTGTAGGTTTTTGCGTGTTTTTGGGTTGGGGTTTGCTGTATGGAAAATTGAAGGAGACAACCATGAGACTTACTGTCACGCAAGCCAACTTTGGACGGGGTTTAGTTGTGGAAGACCCGCTACTTAGTGATCGTCCCCCCTTTTAGTCCCATATCACGAAACTATAAAATGTTTCAGCACCTCTTCTTCTTGTCTTGTGAAAGGCCCTAACTAAATCGCGCCTCATTCCTCTGGCACTTCTGAGCGTTGAATTTGCAGGAGTGGTCTCAAATCCCGGAGCCCAAAAACGGACTCACACCCAAACTCCCAAATGCTGTCCCCATAGGTCTAAGCCAGCCCCCACGAACCCTAAACCACAATCCCTAAACCCTGAATTCGGCATAAAGCCTTCATCCCTGCCGACACCTGAAAACCTGAACCCACGCCGTACCCCAGCCTTCAACCCCTTCAGGCTCCAGGAGCCTCAGCCTGAAGCTCCCAAACACTACTACGAGGCCCAAAGGGCCCTTAGTAAGTAAGGTAAAACAGTACGTTTAGAATCAGGAAGCTCCCCACTTAGGCAATTCAAATACTTGCTTACTTGATCACCTAAGTTGTTGGGTAAGCCCCAGTTTTCGCCCTTGAAGATGATTCAGGATTTTGGGAGCTAGGGATTAAGATTTCGGGGTTTCGGGTTTAGGTTCTTGGAAGCCTAAATCGCTTCAAGCTTCAGAGCCCAGTGCTCACAGGGTACCCAACCATCAAGTACGGCGATCCGGACGACCTTCAGGCGAGATTTCACAAACAAGCTCAAGTAGTGCTGCTTCTGAGGGAGTTTTGGCAAAGGGGGCTCTTATGAGGCACCCTGAATTCAGGGACAATGGAGTCAGGCCAGAAATCTGTGGCTTTTTGGCTTTGATTTCTTGCTTCTTTCAAATATCGCTGTCGGCGGGAAGTAGGGTTTCTCTTTTGGGTTTGACCCTGCCCATGCCCAGAAGCATGTGGTTTGCGCACTACGGAGAAGAGCGCACTTCCAAGCAACAGGCATATCCCTGATCCCGCGGCGCTGTGAGCGCTGGACCCTAAAGTAATGGGGAGCTGCGGAGCAGCTCCGCACCACTCAGGACTACAAGGGTGGACGATCCTTCGACGATCTCTCCAAGCACTTTGGCATCATCAGCCCTTACATGTCAAGTAACCTGCAGATTGGGGTGTAGGTGTCGCCATTTTCTTGATGATGTGTCAATGTTTCTGCCTTCGCTCTTCAGGAATGTTCTCGGAACAATGCCCCGAAACGCGCGCCATTTTTCCCTCGGGGTTGGGGCCGCTGTCCTCCGGCCACAGCCCGACCCACACTAACTCCAGCAACGTGGGCATGGAAGAGTCCCATGTGCCACCCAAAACGCAGCACTTCCAAGTACAGCACATGACATGAAAAGATCCTGGAATGTCTCGCAGCTTTCGTGTTCCGAGACTCTTACTGCAAACTCAGGGTCCTGCGGCTTCCGGCCCTGAAGGCTTAAAGTAGTTAAAAGTCCCTGAAACACTCAAATCCGAAGTTGCTGTGCAAGCAATACCGTGCAATGCCTAGACTTGCTTGCAGTTATGTTCCTCGAGCTTCTCCGAATCATTCCGAGACCGGAAACCTCAATCCTAGATTTTAAATCCGAGCCACTGAATCCTAAACCCAAGCTCACTCGCTCGCTCACTCCCTCACTCACTCCACTGTGGTCCAGGCTCCAGAGCGGAGCCGGGCTTACTCTGGGCAGCCGACAGACAAGACTCCAAACATCCCAAGGCCTTAAACCCAAGCCCCTAAACCCGCAAACCCTCAACGAAAAAGCTTAATCCCAAGACCCGAACCTAGGTTCGCCAAGGGCCTTGGCCCTCAGTGCGGGCCTGGCAACAAGGACATCCAAGCAGCGAGTGTTCGGGTGGTTGGATTTGGGGTTTTGGGGTTCAGGGTTTTGGGGTTTCGGGTTTAAGTCAAAGGGGTTCGTGGTTTAGGGGTTCAGGGTTCGGGCCAGGTGGAAGGCTTTGTGTGTTCAGGCTGAGGAATTACCTTCGCCTACTGGTGGAGTCCAAAAAACACACCCCGACAACTATAGGGTTTTAGGCTTAAGCTAGCTCACCCAAGCATTCTCACTCCAACAGCCTAGACTCTAGTCTGGTAAATTCTTCCAAACACCGGCTAACCCTTTGTCGCTTGCCTTGGAGGACCTCTGTGATGATGCGCACCTTGGCTGCAGAAGAAAGGGGCGTGATCTAAGGCGTTGTGAGCCTCTTGTGGCATCAGGAGTCAGACTTTTAACTTTAAGCCGTAAACCATCCTAAACCTTATGCCCTAAAGCCTCCTGACCCCTAGAGCCCCTAAAGCCCATAAACCCTAAACCCTCCCTAAACCACAAACCCCCGAAACTTTAAGCCCCTGAATCCGAAACCCTAAGCCCGAGACGGGGGTTTCGCTTAAAGGGGGCTTTCGTGCGTGAGCTGTCGACGGGTCCGAGGTCGCTGACTGGGGGGCCTAGACCTTCTACAAGAGTGGGTTTAGGGTTTTTTAGGGTCTAGGGTTTAGGACTTGGGGTTGTAGGGTTTAGGGTTCAGGGGAGACTGCGGAGTTGGGCTTTAGAGCTGGAGGTCCAGTCTTATAGTTAGGGGTACGTCCAGTCTTAGGTTTTCAGGAGCTTATGCTTTGGGCTTTAAGGTTTAGCCCAGAGTGCAAGGAAGAAGAAGCTCATCGACGAGTACATGGCCCTTGCGCCCGCCAAGCGAGAGAGCATGATCAAGGACGGCTCAGGGGCAGAGTTTACGACTTCCGGGGTGCAAGTTAGGGTCCCTTGTTGGGTCGCCAAACCGTCTAAAAAGGGAGCCCATCAGGGAACTTAATTTAGAGAACTACGTATCTGGTAGCTGGTGACGCGGAATGTCGAACACGAAGGCGGCCTTCTCACTTGCTCAGGTTTCTGAAAAGCAAAGATCTTCAATCCTGCAAGCTCCGGCCACCCCAAACCCCAGAACCCTGAACCCGAAACCCAAAATGCCAAACCCCAAACCCGAAACCCTAAGCCCCAAACCCTAAACCCAAAACTAAACCCTGAACTCGTAATTGGGTTTTGCTGGCTAGGGCCAGGGCCTGTGTCTTGGTGATGTTTCCTTTTTGCTTGTAGCTATGGCATTGCTGACTTCTGAAGGAGAAGGAGACGGAGATCGAGAAACTCGAGTCCGACTTCAAAACCTTCGTGGAAGGAGGGATTTTATCATGTGGGTTCCGAGGTGTCAGCATCTTAGACTTTCATGGGTCCAGCCTGTTCTGCTCGACACCCATGCATTTGCTTTGCAAGAAGCTGCCATTTCTTGGGAGCAGAGGAGCTTTACTGAGCAGAAATAGTTACTCGTCTCATTGCTAATATCTACGTTTTCTTGTAACCCTGCTGTTCAGCTCTTCGACGACATGTGCAGCAAACTTACTGTAACCTCGTTTAAAGATCTGTGGATTTTGAGTTTATAGGGTTTCTAGTTTAGAGTCAAAGTTTAGAGTGATCGTTTAAGCAGGTGTCGGCGTGTTAAGGGGTTTCGGGGGCCGTGGGGGATTCCTGCACGGTTTCCCAGATCCTTGGATGCCAGAATAGAAAACTAGTAATTCGAATATGGCTTGGGACATATTCCACTATGCCACTATGCGTATATTTAGGGACTCCGGGTTTATTGAGACCTAGAGTGACCTAAACCCTAAACCCGAAACCCAAGCTACGAACTATTGAGACTTGAAGTGAACGAACCTTCCTGCTCCGATAGCTCCGGGTTTGGTTTTGATTTCCTGAGAGTCTTTGGTTTTCAGGGTTGTAGTGAGTTTTTAGGGTTTTGGCCTTTTAGGGTTTGGAGTTAGGGCTTTAGGGTTTGGGGGTTTTGGGGTTGAAGAGACCTAGCTTTATGGGATTTCGTGGTCCGGGCTGAAGATGCGGAAGGCCTCCAGAAGCAGTACCAGGAGAGCAGCGACAAGAAGGACCTGCGCGGGACAAGGGGATGGGGATTGGGGAGCCTTAAACCCCACAACCTAGACCCCAAATCCAAAACCCTCAAACCTATGCTTAGGGCTGAGGGAAGCCTGGAACTGGAGACCGCGAGCATTTCATCGGCATGTTCATATTCAGCATCCCAGTCGCCGAGCCTTGCTTTACTCCCTAGATACTAGCAACGATACACCTCAGCAGCACGAGGCCCTCAAATCTCGGCCCCAGGGTCATACTTGGAGGACTCAGGATGGAGGCATCCTCACCCTTACCCTTTGTCACGCTGCGGCCCGCTGGTCCTGGAACAAGTCGGTTCATAGACAACTCGGTTTCGTGGGCTCCGAAAACAGGGTTCACTTATTCTTGGAATCCTTCAAGGGTTCCTCTCGTACGAACCCTCATGAAATCCTTCAAGGGAATCCCTTGTAAGAACCCTTATGAAGCCTTGAACTAAGGGTTTCTTTTAGGGATTCCTTCTAGGGATTCCTTTTTAGGGATTCCTTTTTAGGGGGTTCCCCTTTTTTTGTGCTTCCCTTTTTTTATGGGGTTCCTGCGTCCACGCGGGAAAGCCTGGAAGGACAAGGATGTCGAGGCCGTGAAGAGCTCCGGCCTAGGTCTGCTCAAGTCCGTCCACTCCTACAGCAGCCTGGCTCTTGATGAATCTTCAGGGGTTTAGGGTTTAGGGTTTAGGGTTTAGGGTTTAGGGTTTAGGGTTTAGGGCTTAGTCTAGGGTTTAGGGGTTTAGGGTTTAGGGTTCGCTTTGAGGTTTTTATTGCTTGGGGTTTGGAGCTGGGGGCTCTTTCTGGGGCTTATAATACTTCCTTGGACCTATTAGAAGTATTTCTCGGGTTTTATACTTTTCGACCGTGCTTCGGGTTTAGGGGTTTGGGAAATCTAGGTTTAGGGTGTTGGTTTAGGGTTTAAGGTGTAGGGTTTAGGGGTTTAGCGGTCTTGTCGGGACCAGAGCGTCGCGTTGAGAAGAAGCCCCATGTGAGGTTGCGTAGCTTCCTGAAGTTTCGTCGTCCGAGGCAAGAAGCAGAAGGGCGAGCTGTAGATGCACGTCCGTGATGGGTCCTAAGGGCAGCAGAGCTTCTTGGTGATACCTCCCAGCTCGACGAGTCTTCATCGAGAGTGTTGCGAATGACGCAGAAAACTCAGGTAGGGGTTTCGGATCTTCTTCCGCTTTATGTAGAAGGGGCGCAGTATGGTTCCCGTGTTTCTATGTAAGTATGGGCGAATACACCACAAAACCGTACTTCTATTGGAGTGTCTATGGAAGTTCCGGTTGTTGGCTTCTAGTCTGCGGGACTCTCAGGTTCTATGTACTTCTATGTACTTGAGAGGTGACGGAGGTATCTTTTCTAGTCCAGCACGCACAGTCCTTCCTTCTCCAGCATCTGGCTTCATCAAACAAAAAATCCACCAAGGAGATAGCCTCTGCGGTAAACACGCAAAGCCAGTTGGAGAGGGGCGCGTCCTTTCTATCATCTCTGTACTCCAGGAGTAGCGAGCGGTTGATGCCCAATGCCACCTCATGGGTGGTCGTGGCTGAAAGCTAGCTCTCCGAGGGGCATGCCGATGGCAGAGCTGATGCATTTTTGTGGGCTGGGTTTCGATTTTCTACTACTATCACGGCAGCTGTTTGCGTGTTCATTGGACTGGGATGTGTTGACGAGCAAAGCCCCCGAATGCCCAACTGCGTAGACATTCCGACTCACAGGAAACCTCCTGCAAGCCACACTTGCATTTTGGAGAAACCGGCTGCATACGGCAGCTCAATATTCCCGTTCAGGCGAAAAGAGAGGTTTGCGTTGCACCGAAGAGGCCTTGAGCCCTTTCCCAAGTCCTAGTGTTTAAACCCTACGTCCTATACCTCTTGTCGAAGCCCCAAAGCCTCAATGTTTTAAGAACCCTGACGTTTTTCTCGTAGAACTTAACGCAGCCCGAAGGAGTCGAAGTTCCTTCAAGTGCCCATACTCTCGCTGTTGAAACCCTAAACTGCAGCTATTCGACATCTGGTCCGAGCAGCTCGTCCTAGGCAGCATTACGGATACCCCTGAAAGGGTACCCTTCTGAAGCCTACTTATGGCTCTCTTAAACGGGACTTTATTGAGAGGGTCTATATCCCCAAGGGTCCCCCTAATCCTAACTCCTAGCTCAAGACTACAATCCCTACCCTGAACCCTACAGAGGCGCTGCCGGGTTCGGAGGCATATGATAAAGTATGCTGATATGGAGCCGTATAGAGCCGTATTGGGATGTTTTTGCTAATTATTGAAACCTCTCTATTCAGCTACACATGGAAATGTCCGTTTGGAGAACGGGGGCCTGGGTTTCAGGTATGAAGAGAGGATTGCCCAAAGCCTTGCCTTCAAACACTCAGCTTGTCGCCTCACGCCTCAAGCTCCAAACCCTATTAGACCTTAAACCTTAAACCCTGCGCAAGGCGTGTTCAAGCTTTGAATGCCCAAGTAAACGAACAACCGATGCTGCTTTTGTCCCTTCCCGTGGAGGCAGGCGGAGCCATGTCGGAGGAGGCCACCCTAAAACCTAAAAGCCAGGCTTTCAGGGTTCCGGGTTTATGGTTTGAGCGTCTGGGGTCTAGGGTTTAAGCTTCGTTTAATTAGGGTCTCAGGCTTTAAGGAAAGGTTTAGGCCGTAAGGTGTTTTTAAAGGTTTGTGGGTTTAGGGTTGTAGACGGCGTTGTGCTTTGTCCCGGTGGTTTGGGCTGCTCTCTATCTCTATGGCTGTGGCTGCGAGCTTAGTGGCTTGGGATTTGGGTTCCAAGTTTGAGTCGAGCGCCTGCAGGCGTTAGGTCTTGAGCACTTCTGAGTTTGGGGGGTTGCAGAGGCCTTCATGATAAGCATTGGGGTTTTGGGGGGTCGCTAATGCCATAGCTATAGAAGGCCCAAAAAGGGGATACCGACTCTAAGTATTCAGACGGTGGTGTGGTTCCTTGCTCACACTGACTGAAGTCACTAATTATCAAGTTGTTAGACCAAAGAGGCTCGGCCTACAGTTCCGGGGGCTTCAAACTCCTGCAAGGTTTAGAGGCTTGGGCTCCCTGATCTCTCTCGCAATCTCCACTCGCAGCCTGAAAGCTGTTCAGCCGCGACTCAACCAAACCAGAGCCATGGCCCTCGCTCAGCTTGCGTACCGCCGCACTTTCATTGACGTGATGGATGGCAAGATGGATGGTGCAGATCGTCGTGCTCGGGCCCGTAGCCTCTCGCCTGCCCAGATGTCGGACAGCCCGGAGCCTCTTATGCAGGACGTGTGGGCGCATCGTCATCTTCGCACTCTGCGGCAAGAGCAGAGCGCAACGGTCGTCGATGCACCTGTCCCAAGTCGGGGCAGCGCAGGACACCCGTCCTTGTGCAACAGACCATGCGTTTGTGTTGTAATGCGGGGGCACTGCCAGAAAGGTGTAACCTGTGGCTTTTGTCATTTCCAGCACGATGACCCGAAGCCCGACAAGACGCAGCGCCTTTTGATGAGCACGATGCCCAGGCCAGAGCTACTTAGTCTTCTAGCAGCTCTACTTCGGGAGCGTGCCGACCAAGATGGACTCCATGATGTGAGCTTCGCGTTGGCGGTCCCTCGGTAGACTTAGCGCGGCTTGCTGTGTTCCGCTCGATGGGACGCAACAACAGAGCCCGCAAGCCCCAAAGCCCCGATCCATAAAGTTTACTATGAAAGCCTACTCCCTAAATTTCACTATATGCCCAAATCCCAACTCAAAACTGCAAACCTGAAACATTGCGCCCATGCCATCTGAAAACCCAAGACCAAAAAGCCTGCAAGCCCACAGCACAGACGAGGTGCTTTCCGTCCATGCAGGACTTCTTCCAAGTCGTTTGCAGACGAAGCCTCGCAAGCTTCACAACTTACGACAGGTCCCACACCATAAATGGGCTTTCGCGATAGAAGGTACGACTCATGTTCATTATAATAAACTTCCCATCAAATTGCGCATAGCATTTCGATGTTGGGAAAGAGGCATTCGACAGCGGGGCAGAGTGCGAGTAGCAGGGAATAGTTTCTTTCCTGGCTTGAGCGGGTCGTGGCTTCGCGTTGTTGGAGACTGCTCAAGGTTTCAGATTTTTCAACCACCAGGTACTTCAGCGCATGAACTTCTCCGGCATCTTATCGATGGCTGCGCACAAATGTGAAGGCCGCAGCAAGGCCGTGATGCTACAGGAGTTGAGCGCTTTGCGACAGAGTGCCAGGCGACAGGTGACCACATATGGGTCCAAGAAGTAAACCCGCCTGCCGCATCTCAACTATCGCAGCTGTCCATGCCGCGGTTTTCAGATACTATCATCGCTCGGCAGTGGCGTCGCTCGAGCCATATTTGTATATATATTGTTGCGCCCCGGCGGGTCCCCCTCTCCCACCTCCCCCCTCCCCCCAATGGTATCCCCTCATTAGGTCATCCCCGCTCCCGCTGTGGAACGGTGTGGACCTTGAGCTTGCGTGTGGAATGGTTGGGTGGTTTGGTTCAGGTCTTCTTCCAATGGTTGTGCGCGTGATCATCCCCATCCCCCCCCTGTGGAACGGCTGGGGTCTTCGAGCTTCGGAGTTTAGTCCCTGGGCTCTCGCTCTCTCTCTGTCTGTCTCTCTCTCTCTCTCTGTCTCTCTCTCTCTCTCTCTCTCTTTTTCTCTTCTTCTCCCTCTCTCTCTCTCTCTCTCTCTCTCTC